CTTGTTTTGCACGATAGCTGAGCTTGCAGGGGACCTCCTGCAATCCTGTCCCGGCTTCCCAGCCTTGCCATGCTGTGGGCTGGCTCCACCAGCCTCCTTCCACACCTTCTCACCCAGGAGCTGCCCCAGCTTAGCAAAGTGGTCGCCTCCTCTTTCCCCTCTCTGCAGAAATACTGAGTGGGACAGGGAGTGTCAGCTCTGCCCCTGGTCTCCCCCACCCACCCCAGCCAGGTCAGAGACAGGGCTCCCTCATTGCCCTCCTGGCAGCTGAGGTCCCAGAACAGTCTTAGGGACCTTTCCCCCATGGTGGCAGGGTCTCCCCTTTTCTCCATGTTCCCAAGCCTCCCCAGTGCTCCCCCCTCTCTCTCACTGTCTTAGGGCTCCCTGCTGCACCCCCATTTCCTCTCATGGCCTCAGGGATCCCTCATTTGCCTTCCATGATCTGGGGGATCTTCATTGCACCCCGATTTCCCCCATGGTCTCACGGCTCCTTCATTGACCCTCCATAGTCTCAGGGCTCTTCATTGCACCCCTTTTCCCCCTGTGTTGTCAGGGATCCCTCGTTCATCCCCCATGGTCTCAGGGCTCCCCAATACTCCCCCATCTCCCACATGGTCTCAGGGCTTCCCAGCAGTTCATCATGCTGATGGCACTGCTGCCTGCACCCTCCCCAGTCGAGGCCCAGCCCAAAGCCCTGGGTAGGTGATGGGAATAGGAGAAAGGGCAGGATGAGAGCTGTTGATGCTGAGGGAAGGGACAGACAGTAGGTCCACAGGACTCCCCGAAGAGGGCAGTTCGGGGACACCAATGGCGCTGTCATCCCCCAGCTCCAAAAAGATGCAAATAGCAAGTCCTCCACCAGCACACCACCAGCAGCCTTGGGGTGGACCACACCACGGGGGAGCTGGGCTCCACACCGGAGTCCCATGTCGCTGCAAGCTGCGCTGGCCAGGGCATGCGGGGACGCGCAGAGGCACGGTGCAAGGTGGTACAAGTGTATGCGTGAGTGTGAGAGAGGGGAACAAGCTTTGTTTTCCATGAGTCTTGCTTTAAAATGCAGACACCCTTTCCCAGCACTTTGCAACGTGGTTGAGGCAATGCGTGCACAGGGGAGAGGGTCTTTTGGTGCACCCCCCAGCTCCTGTCCCCAAGTCCTGCGATGGAGAGCGGTTGCAGCACAGTCAGGCTTTGACCAGGAGAGGAAGGAGGGTTTTGGATGCGCTGCTCAGCTTCGGGGGCTGCTCACAGATCCACTGGTAACTTTGCATACATTTTGCATTTTTTAATTTCCCATCCTGTAATAGCCTGCACTCTGGAGCATAGTACCTAGAAGAGAGGGCACGTGTCAGAGGGGCAGTGACAGCATCCTCACCATGGGCACCTCTTCCCACAGATCCCAGTTGTGCTGGGGTGAGCAGGGTGCCCAGCCCTGGGACCAGTCTGAGGAAGGGTCACATTCCCCGCCCCGGGCTCCTGCTCTGCCGCTTGGAGATCCAGCGATGCACCCCGCTGCCGGGCTCTGCCCAGGCCCCCTCCCTTGAGGCACTGCTTACTGAAGCTTCACCCCCTTTGCTGAGGGAGGTCTCACAGGGGTGAAGCAGCGCTTACCCAGACTGGCTAAAGGGCAAGTGCTTGTGCCAGGGACCACTGCACTTATGAGTAGACCAACCTGCCGTCCTGCCATACACTAGATCTCCTTGTGTTAGAAGAAAGCTGTGCTCCAATCCAGTACGTGGCACCACGCGTCTGTACAAAGTGCTGGGGGGAGAGAAGCTGTCGAACGCCTGCCCCATGCCCAGTGCCCATCTGCTGCCCAGCAGTCCCAGGGCCGGCCATGCTCCTCCACACAGACCGTCGGGATGGGCACCCCAGGCCTGTGATGCCACCCCAGAACCTCCACAGGTGCCACTGCTGTTGGTCCCACAGGGCTCTGCCCAACCCCACCACTGCCGCCACCCTCCTGGGGTGCCACAGACCCCCTGCTCCGTACCGGCAGTGTCCAAAATAGCCAGGTGCCCTGCACCAGAAGCTGAGCAGATTTCCTTCTGCAGTCCTCCTGGCTGTCCCACCACGAGTTCTCCTCCGCTGAGATGAAGAGGCACTTGCCCCTGTAGAGCACCCAGCGCGGGGGGCAGCATTCTGAGGGCAGGGGCACGGCTCAGGCGCTCGCCCTGCCACGGATGCTCGGGGAGCCCAGCCTGGCGGGGATCAGCCCCGCATCTCCTGGGCAGCATCACTGCCCGTCTCCCCCCCC